TAAGTAGATAAAAATTGTATTAAAGAATTAATTAATTATTCAATCAACTAATTGGTATATGTACCTTTAACTTAGCAATTAATAATTGAGGTTTAACAATCAAATAATGAAATTATTAAGAGAAATCGCCCTTTCGTATCTTCCTCATTATAAACTTCAGCAACATCGTTAAACTCATGCGCTTTAGTTCAATTCTTATACCAAAATTTTATAACAAAATCAGTTGATAAAAAAATTCAGTTTTTTTTAAACTGTTTAAATAAACGAATTGAGAATGTTTGAAATTATTTGAAATAACATTTAATAGAGATTATTGAAGAAGAAGAATAAAAATTATGATTGAAAATATTTAGCAATAAAAAAGTAATAATTAATGAATATGGATTGGCTATGGAAAAAAACATGTACCTATAAGAATGAAAAACCATGTGCAGCTTTTAAGGACTAGCATATTAATATTTCAAAAATAAATTAATATTATCGGAATCTATCAAGAAAAAACATAAAATTATTTAATATAGATGCGCAATTTCAATGATATACGCGCCTATATAAGTTATTTTATTAAACTGAAATAATTCATTTAACGGTGGAATGATTAAAAAAATTACTATAGTGAAATGTTTTGTTGAAATTAATTACGATAAACAGAAATTCAGCCATCCTCAAACCAGGGTAGATTCCTCAGCAGATGATTATTTCATGGGCACCAATAAAATTTAATTGCTCTGTTCCAATTTAAGCAATCTTTTCAAACAATAAAAACGAAAAGTTTTCAACAACCACCGATAACAGAATGTAAATTGCAAAAGAAAGACGTAGTTGAATGAAAAAATTTCAAACAAATCAACAACTCAAAAGGTCTTGCGCGTTCGTTGATGATGTTCCATTTTGCAGAAGAGTCTAGGTAATTACAATCCTTAAGAATATACTTAACAAATATAACCAGATAACCTATAAATACCTACACACACGCACGCACGCACATACACATTCTTATACACATACACACGCACGCACGCATGTGAACAAACGAAAATTTGACAACACACAAAACCAACATTAGATGATTGAAAAAAGTTTAAAGACAAACGAGAATGATATACAGAAACCCAAAAAATATATACACAAACAAACAAACATGCACATACAAACACACTTAAAAACATACATCTGAAAAACATACATACGCCACACAGTTTAAAAAAAAACAAACACAACCATAAAATATTTTGTGGCGAATAGGCTAACACGTAAAAATTGCATTTCTAGGTTAAGAGAATTTTAAAACAAATTTACAGCGTAAACAACGGCAATTAACAAATCAATAATATAATTAATTATAATTGATTATAATTAATTATAATAAAAATAATTGTTTTTTATTAATGAAAAAGGAAAACAATCAAAATTTTTGTAATCTGCGTCATCGTTTGCGACGTCATACTTTGTTCAATTGGATTTGCATACAGTTCAAATTAAATATATTTTTCAAGGGAAAGATTCTCTCTTTTTTTTCAATCACTTTTCTCTCTCTCTATTCTTTCTTTTCAGTCTCTCTCTCTCTCTCTCTCTCTCTCTCTCTCTCTCTCTCTCTCTCTCATCCTTCCTCTTTCTACAATCTTTCTTTCTCTATTTCTTTTTATCATCGTTCTCTCAGTTCCTCTCTCTCATTCTGCTTCTTTCTCTCTCTCTCTCCTTCTCGCTCTCTCCTTCTTTTTCTATATATGATCTACCTAACAATAGCGGTATAAATTTTGTATATGTCTGCACTGGAACGAATCAATGGATGAACGATGACAAGTAATTTAATAAATGCCATCTTGTTATATTTTACGTGCTAATATATATCATACGTTGTGTTCATACCATATATATGTATATATATATTTCTGATAATTCCTTATCATGTTAATTTACGACATATATAAATATATACACATACATATAGTACCTTATATATGTTTATATATATATGTATATAACATTATATGTTTGCGAAATTTATGTTCTTCAAATTCAAACCATGAAAAAAATTATTATATACAATAATAAATATATGCTGCTAAAATTATCTACATATGTATATCATATATATATATATATATATATATATATATATTACACTAATATATATTATATAACATGAATTTATATATAGTGTATACGTCCATACTTATGTACAGTTAAAGGTTAATTGCTTATCGAGATACACATATAAATAGAATTGGAAACCAGGAAAAATGTGAAAAAAAACTTGAAATAAACTGGAAATAAATAAGAATAATATTTCATCATCAGTAAAATACTATTACACAACGCATGTAGTTTCGTCATCATATTCATCTTTGTTATCTTTATTATTATTATTTTTATTATTATTACTATTATTACGGCTTTCTGACGTCATCTTTGTCGCCATTATCATGTCGTCACCTTCGTTGTTTGGATGTATTTTTGGTGTTCCTTTTTATGTTGCTGTTTATAAATGAGTTATTTTATTACTAAACTTGTGCTACAAAATTTACTTACGCTGATATTGTTGTCGTCATAAATGTCGTTGTTAATGTTGTTGCCATTTTTTTTATTGATGTTGAAGCAGTTGTTGCTGTTGTTAGAGGCGGTGGTGGTGGTGAAGTTGTTGTTGTTGTTGTGATGGTAAAGGACTTAAAATTTGTTGCCCCATTATGAAAAATTGCTGTTGCTGCGGATGTTGCTGAATCTGATGTAATTGCTGTTGTTGTTGGATTTGCTGTAATTGTTGTTGCTGATGATGCAGTTGTTGTTGTTGTTCCTGATGAAGTTGAGAATTCAAAGCTGTTGTCAACAACTGCTGATGTTGCTGTTGTTGTTGATGTTGTAGCAGCAGCTGTTGCTGTTGTAGTAGTTGTTGTTGTGTTGTCAGCAATAAATGTTCTCCAGCTTTTCTATCATCAGCTGCATCTTTTAACGTTACGAGGCTTTCAAACGGTGGAAGAATCACCTTGTCACCTTCTAAATACACGTTCATGTCCAGAAAAACACCGTTGCTATTGTTGCTGCTGTTGTTGTTGTTGTTTCCGCTGCTGCTAGTAGTGCTGTTGACAATGTTGCTAATGTTGATGTTGTTAATGTTGTTGTTGTTGATGGTGCCGCTAGAAATAACGCTGCTGTTGTAGTTATTAATGGTTTTGTTGTTGAAATCACTGGGTAGCAGTTTTAATGTGGTCGCGCTGTTGTTGTTGTTGTTGCAATTGTTGATGTTTTCAGGGGCGTTGATGTTATTGATGCTGGCGTATTTTTTGTTCAATTTACTGTCATAAAGTTGCGAAACAGTTTTCAATGAGTTGCAGCAGTTTATAGTGTAAGCAACAGTTTGGAAATATATGTCATTGTCATTTTGGTTATTGTTGTTAATGTGGTTGATGCTGTTAATAATGTTGTTGTTGTTGTTGTTGTCATTGGTGTTGTCAGTGTTGTTGTTGTTGTTATTGATGTTGTTAATAATAATGCTATTGTTGTTGCTGTTGTCGATGTTGTTGTTGTTGAAATTGCTGTTATTGTTGACGTTAACATTAGTTGATGCTACACCTATTGTGTTAGCGTTGTTGTTGCTGCTGTTGTTGTTGTTGTCTCCAGTAAAAATTATATTGCTAGCCATTGAATTTTGTTCATTATTTGTTGTCAAGCCAACGTTATCAAAAACTTGTGAGTTATTTGTTGATGTTGTCGAAGTAGTTATTGTGGCTGTTGTTATTGTTGATGTTATTAATGTTGATGTTGATGATGTTGTTGATGTTATTGTTGTTGATGTAGTCTCAATTTTTTTCCTCTTAAATGGTACGACGACAGCAGTTGGTATAATGTTGGTAGCTTGGCAGGATGAAACCACCAGAAACTTGTTGCTGGCTTTATTTTTGTTGTTGTTGTCATTAACGTTATCATTGTTGTTTGTGTTGTTGTTGTTGTTGCTGTTGTTGTTGTTTATGTTTGTGTTGTTGTAATTTAAAATGCGCTTTTGCAAATTTTCAAGTGCACATTTTGCTCTCTCTTGTTTCATTGTTATTGTTAAGCTGTCTGCATTGTTCTTGCTCGGACTGTTGTTGTTGTTGTTGCTTGTGCTATTAATATTGTTAGTATCATTGTTGTTGTTATTATTACTGTTGTTGTTGTTGTTTGCGATATTATTCGCAATTGAGTCACTCATGTAAAGTAGGACGTCATCATTATTGTTGTTGACTTTGTTGGCTGTCTCAACATTGGCAACCAAGTTATTAACGTTTCTATTGAGAATATTATTAATGTTATCGTTATTATTATTATTATTGTTGTTGTTGATGTTGTTGTTGTTGTTGTTTTTATTCACAATGAAGTCATTTATCTTGACAATTGGTTTAACGAGGAGATGATGGTGATGGGTAGGCAATGCCGGAAGAGTTATTGTCCGGACGATGACGTTGTTGCAATTCGGTGACGATGATGATAATGATGACGGTGTAAATGATGATGATGATGATGATGATGATGATGATGATGACGTGGGTGACGGAAGTTGCTGCATGGAGAGAACGCATTTCGGTAACAGCCTGTTCATTGGATCGCCCATTTCCTCTTCTTTGCTGACGTCATCAGAGCTGGCACCTCTGTTTTCTAGAATATTTTTACTATTATGAATATAATTGCTTTTATAATTATATTTATTATTGTCATCATTGTTTTTATCATTATTATAAATATAATTGTTATTATTTTATTACCATTATTATAAATATAATTGTTATTATTTTTTATTATTATTTATTTATATATTATTTGTGACAATAGCATAATTATTATTATTATTATATTAAAATAAATTATTGTTATTAATGTTACTAGCGTTACCATAACAACCATCATAGCCGTCAGTATTATCATTTCTAAAAAAAATATAAAAAAAATCCACCTATCGATTTTTTATTCCTCTTAAGAAATTCACATGGCCCTCGGTGCCTATGTCCCCATAGATTCTCCCGGGTCTTAAACCCCTTACCACAGGCACATACGAAGGGCCTTTCGTCAGAGTGAATACGTTCGTGGAGTTTAACAGCAGACGAGTCTTTGAATTTTTTCCCACAAAATGTGCATTCACATGGATAATCGGTGCTATGTCGGTATAGGCAGTGCTTTTTTAGGTGAACCTTCAGTTTAAATGACACGCGACACGTGTCGCACCTGAATGGACGGTCGATTGTGGCTGCTGTGGCTGTGGTTGCTTGTTGCTGGGTTGTCGTCGTTGTTGTTGTTGCTGTTGTTGCTGCTGGTCGCAGTAAGGTTGTTGGCGGTGTGGAGTCAGTTGGTTGTTTTCTAATGGGAAAAAGTTTACAGGTTGGATGGATTTGAATTGGTTGTTGTTGGTGTTGGGTTGCTGTTATATTTGGTTGTTTGTTATATGGCATTAAATGTTTGTTTGATAGTAGGATGATTTGTTGTTGCAATGAAGATTTTTGTGGTGTTAAAGATGGTGTATTTTGTTGTTGTTGTTCATATTCTTGTTTGAAGTTGTTTGGATGTTGTTCGATATGTGATTGGACGGACATTACTGATGCAATTGTTGTTTTCGCATCATTTTCATCACAGTTATTGACGTTGTTGTTGTTGTTAGTGTCATTGCGGTTGATATTGATGTTATATGTGATAATGCCAGCACCGCTTGGATGATCAACTGAAAAATTCCCTACAAAATGAGATGAGAACATTATCAACAATGTCATTCACGATGAACACTTGTATATTCACCATTGTTACAAACATATCAAACAACATTTTTAAAAATATTGCTTGATAACGTTGTGATATAAATGATAACATTAAGATAAGTAATAATCATTATTATTATATTTATACAACAATGATTGTTGTTACCTGTTTGGCTATTATCGTCTGCTTCGACTTTCATTTCGACATCATCCCCGCCATCACCATCATCGTCGCCGTTATCTGCATCACCATTAGTACCAACACCATCATCATCATTGTTATCATTCTGGGTTGCGATGTTGTGCTTGAGATTATCACCCGAGTTTGTTCTAACAATAATATTCGAAGAAATGGCCTCTATCATTATATTCAATCTTTCATTTGGATTTAAATTGTTGTTGATGTTGTTGTCATTGTTGTCATTGTTGTTGCTGTTGTTGTTAGCGTTGATATTAATGTTGTTGTTGGCTTCATTGGTAATGGAAAAATCCTTTTTAAAGTTATTTTTCAGGTTGTCAAAATCTTCCTTGATGGCATTGTCTTTGATTTTTTTGTTAGATTTGTTGCTGTCATCAGCAGTAGTTGCTGTAATGATGTTGATGTCGTTGTTGTTAGCGTTGCCATCCACATCACCTTTGACCTCGTTGTTGACTGCTGAAATGAGCTGGTTCTCAAACAGGAAAACATTTTTAGGCTCGGGAGTGACCAAAACTTTGGCCGAGAAATTTTCGTCGATAGATGGGAGGCTGAGCTGAGTTTCGAGAATTTGGTAAGCTGTGTGGTCCACTTTGACGTCTGCCAGTGAATTAGTTGATTCCTGCCTATCAAAGAGATAAATTTCAGGTGTCTGTTGTTGATGTTGTTGTTGTATTTGTTGGTGTTGGGGCATTTGTTGGTGCTGTTGTTGAATTTGCTGATGCTGCAAAGTTGCAAATTGTTGTTGTTGTATTTGTTGAGACAGAATTTGATATTGTTGAAGTTGTTGCTGTTGTTGAAGAAAAGTTTGTTGCTGTTCAGAATGCAACAACATTTGCGTACTACTCTCTGGTTCCAACTTGGTGAAGTTCAGATTTGAAATCGGAATTAGTTGGTTGCCTTCAGAAATGACGTGAGAAAAGTTTTGCTGCTGCTTCGGCTGCTGCAAATTAGTTAATTGGTTGGATACATCGATGATGTTGTTCACAACAATCTGTCCGTTATCAGACTGTTTTATAATTGCACTCCAATCTGTATTATTGCCATTTAATAGTGTTATAAACTGCATTTGTTGCTGTTGCTGGTGCTGGTGTTGCAGTCGACTGTTGATGTCTTGTTGTTGCCGTTGTTGTTGTTGCTGCTGCTGCTGTAGTTGGTAACTATTCAAATCGTAGAAGTTGCTATCGGGGTGAAACATGAGGCTGGGCATCTCCTCTATGACGTGTTCCGCACTGACGATCACCTCTTCAGACGTCTTTCTCTTCGTAGCTTTCAAACTACTACTGATGTGTTGTTGCAAGTTGTCGGCAGGAGGGAAAACTATATTACGGTTGCCGTTGTTCATCGAGGCTACAGCTGCGTTTTTGCCGCAGGTCTTGCTGCGATTCTCATGATGCCATAGACACTCGCTGGTCTTGAAAGATTTCGAGCAGCGCATGCACGAGTAGGGTCTTTCTGTCGAGTGTGTTCTCTCGTGGGCGCGGACGGCTGTGGAATCCTTGAAGCGTTTGCCGCAAACGCGACACTCCTCTTTAGCTTCGTCCGTGTGTTTGAAGAGGATGTGTTTTTTGAGGTGGTAGCGCTCCTTGAAGCCGATGCTGCAAGTGCTGCAGACATACGGTCGTTCGTTCGAGTGCGTTCGCATGTGGTTTTTGTAGTTGGAATTCTGAGCGAACAACTTGTCGCAAAGTTTACATTGCCACTGGCCGTTAGTCGTACCGGATGTAGAATTTGAAGAGATTATTTTATTGGAAGAAGATTTGGAAAACTTTGCTATGGGCGGTCTGTTGGAGTCATTTTCGATGCTGGGATGTTCGTGTGTGGCGTTCATCGATTTGATTGTGTTGTAAATTTGTTGAGAAAAATTAATTGCGGTTAGATTGTTGTTGTTGTTGATGATGTTGTTGTTGCTGCTATTGACCCAGTTATTTGTGTGCGATGTCTCACTGGACAACGTGTTTATGCGAATCTCACTGGAATCTAGCGCAACGAGACCGTCAGGTGGGTTTTGAAAGGAAGGGATTGTTGATGCTCTGTGCAAAGACATGTGCATGCTTAAATATTTCTCGCTCGTGAACTTTTTATTGCATTGTTCGCATACATGGTGTTTGTTGTTGTTGTTGTTAGAAGAAATGTTGATGTTGTTGTTGTTGCTGATTGTGTTGTTGTTGATGTAGTTGTTTGTAACAATGTTTACGTTGTTATTGGAGTTGCTTTGGAATTGCTTTTGAACTGGAGACAAAACGTAATTTTGTTGTTGTTGTTGCTGTTGATGTTTCTGCTGTTGTATTTGTTGTCGTAATTGTTGTTGTATTTGTTGTTGCATGTGTGTGTGTTGTCGCTGTTGAACTTGCTGTTGCAACATATTTTTCAATTTCTCTCCCAGCTGTCTGTGATCGTTTGATGGGTTGTTTGTCGTCGTTACTGGTTTTGGTTTTGTTAGATCGAGACTTTCGTTGTTTGAAATTTGCTGTTGTTGTTGTTGTGGTTGCTGTGGCTGTTGTGGTAGGTTGTGATGACTGCTTTGTGACTGTTGTTGGTGTTGCTGCTTTTGGTGTTGTTCATATGGATATATTTTAGCAATTGGTAAATTGGCATTGTTAGGTAACAACACTAAAAAATATTTGTTGCTGTTGTGAGTGCTGTTGTTGTCGTTGTTGTTGTTGTTGCTAGGAGTATCATCAACAATTAAAGCTTGGCTTTCTTTTACATCAGTCGCAAAATGGTTACTGTAACTGTTAACCGTATTGTTATTATTATTGTTGTTATTATTGTTATTGCTGACGTCATTTCTACTAATGATGCTAGTTTTGATTGCGGTGTTTTTAATTTTTAACAGTTGAGATTTAATGGGAGGTTTTGACAGAATTAACGTCTTTGTTACAGTTAACGGTATCGTTAATGATGATGACGATGATGATATTGGTGATAATGATGATGATTTTGGTGATAATGATGATGATGTTGATATTAAGTTGATCAATGATGGTGACGCTGATGATAACGACAACGAAGAAGATGAAGATAATGGTTGTGATAAACCTAATACTGGCCTATTTTTGTTTTGTATATTTTGTTGTTTTTCTATTTTATGGGATAGTTTAGTCGCTGAGTTTGTTTCTTTTGTCGGTAAACCGTCTAGAGAATTAGAACTAGAATCGATTTCATTCGTATGATCGGTAGAACCCGTTGACACATCTGTCCTATCGCATGTCGGTTCGATATTTGAAACTCTATGGATCGTAGTATCGCTAGCAATTGGAAATTTTGACGTTGCTGTTGTTGTTGTAGTTGTCGTCGATAAGGAGTTGTAACTACTAAAGAGGGCTGTAGTTGCGACCGCTGTTGCTGTACTGATGATATTCGACTTTATAGGAGATAATGATATGGTTGTTGTTGCATCAATAACATTATTATCGTTGTCGTTGTTGTTGTTGATGTTGTTGCTGCTGCTGATGTTGTTGCCATTTTTATAATTATTTGTTATTCTGGTCGTCAAAAGAACGTTGTTAGCCTCACTCGCTTCATCCCGTTCGCTCTTCTCTGCAACGGCGCTGATGGCAACAATGCCTAGAGGCGGTCTCCTATTGGCTGCCATTTTAGTGTGAGATAGTGAGATCTCGCTGTGAGATAGTGACGTGGAGAGCGTAGGCGTTAACGATGATGGTGATGATGACAGTGATGATGACGACGACGATTCAAGTGACGTCAACGTGTTGTTGTTGTTGTTTTGGTTGTCGCCAGCGTCATTGTTGTTGATATCATTGTTGTTATTATTATTATTACTGATCATGTTGATGTTCGCAACATTAATAATGCTGTTGTTGGCATCGATTGGGTTAATGTTATCAAGATTGCTGTTGTTGTTGCTTTCAATTGTTGTCAGATCCATATCTATCACCTTTATAAGAAAGTATCTTTCATTTGTTATATTTATATGCCTATATCAATAATTTCAAAATAAGCATATAAACATTTATATATGCAGTTATATACGTATATATAAATATATAAATAAATATATAAATAAATTTATAAATATATAAATATATAAATAAATATATATATATATATTATGTATGTTTATTTACATCATGCAATTGCCATGCGGTGTTTGAGCGGGCGTATGCAAGCCATTTTGTTATAATTTATTTTTATAAACATCATCGAAAAAGACGATGAAAAAATTATTGAAAAAATAGATAGATATAGAGAGAAAGAGAAAGATAAAAAATAAAAAAAGAGAGTGAAATATGGTGAAAGATAAAAGGAAGCGAAAGGAAGAGAGAGAGAGAGAGAGAGAGAGAGAGAGGAGAGAATAAAAAACCTGATGATAAAACATTTCTAGGTAATCCAGGTGTGCCGTGTACAGGTAAAGCAATATAAACAATCAATGACTGTACAGGTGAGACAAACGTGTGCTGTTTGTTTGTTGTGCTGATAATGGTGAACAGTAACGACGACGACGAAGTCGACGATGGTGGTGGTGGTGGCGGCGACAAGGATAATTGTAATAATAATAATAATAATAATTTAATAATAATAATAATAATTACAGTAACAATAGGTAATTAAGTATAACATTAGAGATAACAAAACACATAAATCGAAAGCTATCTTAACTCGCATTCTGTTTAAATGCATCTCGTATATAATTTTTATTTATTCATTCATCTATCTATTAATTTAATAAATTTTATTATTATTTTTAATGATCTCAAAATTCTACCAATTAATATTTTTCGTTTCTTTGAAACGTTATAAGATGTATCACCATAAGTGGTGGTAATCAGAGAAATTTATTTCTACACATATTTCATGGTAGGCAGGCCTTTAAAATTTTTTTAACACTTCAAACATTTATCTAACTGTATAAAATATTTTATTGCGTGCAGTAAAACACATACACACACACACACACACACACTTACAAACATTCACAGAAACAAGCAAACAGACAAACACAATCACACACACCCACACATAGAGGCATACGCACATATAAAATCATACTCCAGCACTTCCAAACGCTGACACTCACAAAAATTCTCCGATGCAAACCTTTTTTTAAATGCTGTCACCAGAGTCAAGCCAACGAATGTTTTGTATTTTGGTCGCGTAAAATTTTGTGCTGTGTGTGTGCGTGTTTGTGTGTGTGCGCGCGTGTGCGAGTGTTTGTATGAGTGTCGACGTCATCCTAATGTAATAAATAGAAAAAATTAATTACTACAGATCCATGGTTTGGTATGTGAGGATATGCAGAAGATATATCACAATAACGCAAGTGTGACTTGAAGTACGTGACATCATTAAGCACACACACGCACACACATGCACATACATACAAACAGACAAAAACACATACATGTTTACAAGCAGCAGCATAACCCACAGGCCGATCAATAATCTGTTAATCATCTGGTATCATTATCGCAATAATTTGCGATACCAGTGATAATGATACCAGTTATAAGTTACTTGCTCAGTTATAAGTGAAGCGTTGAAATTAAGATGATTGACGTTTTAATTGAGGATCCAGTTTGATATATGTATCTTGATTACTATAGATCTAGAAAAATAAATTTGAAATTGTCCTATGATATCAATTCAATTTTATTCGGGGCTTAATATCTGAAATGATACAATGAATAAGCATAATTTTGTTGTTAATTAATTAATAACGCATTCAATCCTGTTTAACACATTCCAGTATATCATGATACAACATCACATATAGATATAAATATACAAAATGATGCTAAACGATCATTATACAAAATACAACAAATGTATCTTATCTATCTCTGGGTTGTATATTATGTATAGCACATATACTGTAGCCAATTTTCACATTAATATTGCTGATCTATATACTTAATAAATAGCTTTTTTAACTCTCTCTCTCTCTCTCTCTCTCTCTCTCTCTCTCTCTCTCTCTCTCTCTCTCTCTCTCTCTCTCTAACACACACACACAAACACACATTCATACGCACACGTACGCAGCCCATCTTGCGACGAAATTATAATATAAAAACAATTTTTAAAAATATTATAAAACTGCATTTGCATTATTACCATAATAGATGAAGCCGATGTAATGATGAAGAAAATATGAGCCCGGCAGACGAACAAACAAAAGACAAAGCAAACAACAACAATATCAAAACTGCGTCGGATCTATTTAATGACATCTCAATCAATATTCAACAATATGAAAACAAGCACGCACACACACACACACATTCATGTTCACATACAGACACAAACACACATGCACACACACACACATTCATGCACACACACAAACACATACGCAAACACAATCGAATTAAACATACCAAACAGAAAACATCAGAAACAAATTACAACCCCATTAAAAACACAACCAACTACAATCTCATCAATATTCGCATATTATAATCAGTAAAAACCTCATTAATATTCATTTATTACAATGAGGTTGACGTCACAGCATTTGCACCTATATTAAATCCTAACTATAACTCACCTGTGTGAAGCTTTTGAACAGAAGCTAAGCGTATGCACTCCGCACAGCAATAACATGTGTTGCCTTGTCTCCTTTGAAATATACCCCGTGCGAGCATATATAACATACAAATCATATTTTTAATAACTATTATTCATATTATTATATTTTATTTAAATTTGTACAAATAAAAAATTACACACTTATACAATGCATGCATATATAAATGCACTACACAACCTTGTATCTCTAAACATAGTATCAATACAAGAAAAGAGCTATCTTACGCGATGAATTTCATTTGATATACGCGGTATGTTAGATGATATTTTAATGGTATTGTATTATATGTAAAAGTGTTTGTGTGTGTGTGTGTGTCTGTATGTGTGTGTTTGTGTGTGCGTATTGAGAGGTAAATAAAAAATGATGACAAATATATGTGCAGAAATTCGTTTATAATTTCATCAGACATCTTTAACTTTTATTTTTGGACAATGGTTACTTACTGAAAGGTATAACTCAATGATTATTGCCATATGCATGTATTTAGGTGTGTGTGTGTGTGTGAGAGAGAGAGAGAGAGAGAAAGAGAAAGTGTGTGTGAGAAAGAGAGAGTGTGTGTG